GGAAGAGAAAGGAGACCCCTGGATTATAGAAGACTACATGAAAGCCAGTTAGATGGGGTTGCTGGCCAAAGGGAGACAATCTGCTATCCTTCAGATATTTTGGATTACAAATCCCACAATCCCCTGCTACAGGACAAACTAGCAGTAGCTGATGGGGATTCACATCCAAAACATAAAAGGCCCCAAATTGCCTATTCTTGGTCCTGGCCATATGAATTGGGTAATCTTGATCAGTCATTCTAAACCTCAACAATATTAAGACACGTGGACTTCAGCTCCCAGAATTCCCTAGCTAGGGAATTCTGAGAGATGAAGTCCACACATCTTAAAACTGCTGAAGTTGAGAAATATGGAACTACATTATGCAATTTGGTAATTTCCTCAAGACCATTGATCTTGCTTTGAAATGCAGAATTGAAGGACCATTGAATGATGAAGTTAAAAAAAAAACCACCTACAGATCATGAAATGGGGACAATATGGGTATTTTGCTGCAGCAGATCGTTAGGGGGGAAATGGGAATTGCCAAGAATTAAGAAACCCAGCAAATTTATTGCAATCTTGTGCTTTTTGTAAAAGAGAGACTTCCTGCAGCCGCAAAGGCATTTCAGGAAGCCCAAGAAATAACCCTTTACTTTACTGTATTCAAAGTTCTCAGTTCTGCCCACTGCAAAAATTTCAATCTTTAAACAATTTTTGCTGTCCAACTTGATAAGGTTAGCAACAGACCGTTAAATGGAGACCTACTCTGGATGATGAATTTTCACTGAATGCTACAGTACTGGATTATTTAGTACTGTATTGGAAAGCATCATTAAGACATTCTCATGCTAAAAAATCATCTCTCTTTTTAATTTTTTTTAATTTGAACAGGGCACTGGAAAATTTAATTTTCTGCCCTTTGGGTTAAAGGTAGTCCTCAACTTACAACCATTCGTTTAGTCCAGGGGTCTTCAAACTTGGCCCTTTTATGACTTGTGGACTTCAACTCCCAGAATTCCTCAGCCAGGCATGCGTGCATGGCTGAGGAATTCTGGGAGTTGAAGTCCACAAGTCATAAAAGGGCCAAGTTTGAAGACCCCTGGTTTAGTCACTGTTTGAAGTTACAAGGACACTGAAAAATGTGATGTATGACCAGTTACAGGTTCTCCATGGTCAGATGATCAAAATTCGGGCACTTGGCAACCAGCATGTATTTATAACATTTGCACTGTCCTGGGAGCATGTGATCACCATTTATAACCTTCCCATCCAGCTTCTGATAAGCAAAATCAATGGGGGAAGACAGATGCACTTAATGACTGCATCATTCACTTAATAACTGCCTTGCTTAACAACGAAAATTTTGGGCCCAACTATGGTCATAAGATGAGGACTATCTGTATTTACACCTCATCTTGTTTTTTGTGCTATGATAGAACACCGCAAAAAGGCAAGCTTGCCATCTCACATCAAGACTGTACAAAGATACCTTAGTGCGATACTTTACCATTATTTGTGCATCAATTAGCTGCAAAACACACACAAAAAATGATGATGCAGTTATATGTATCATCAAATTAGGACTGCCTTTTTGTAGTGTTTTATCTATGCACCCATAGGGAATGTCAGGAAAAAGGAATTGCAAATTAACTGGAAGAAATGGAGCAAACTATAATACGCACAATCTATTTCTGAAATGAAAATTCAAACTTCCCTTATTTAAACAGGAATTCAGAAAGGGGGAAGTTCAGGTTAAAAAAGATACTTCCAAGTGCTGTGATCCAAGCCTTGATGGACAGCAATTTAAAATAAAACACACACACATCACCCTTTTATTCCTCATGCTGTTTTCAGATTTCAAACCAGAATTGGGCCTTCGTTTATGCTGAAGTCACAACACCCTGTTCAAGCACCAGTTGTATATGACCCAGAATCGTAGATAGCTGCAGATTATATGACCAAAAGGGCGTCACTCTTGATCACTCAGAAAACTGTAACTAAGGAGCAAAAGAGAAGTTCAGCTCCAGTTCTCTGACAGACAGGGAACTGATGCTGCTTTTAATAGACTCTTTTCTTTTTATTTTATTTTTTTTAACATTCTGGGAACAGCTGATTGGACCAAGAGGCAGCTACAGAGGTCCCTTTTTCTTTCTTTTGTACAACTGGAATGAGCATCTGTTGTGCCAACAAAGTTGTGTGCTTTTGACTCTTAGGAAAGGGTCACTTTGGCTATTTTGGGTCTCTGTGTTGCATTTGTTTGGGGGAGACAGTTTGATTTAATGCAGCGTTTTTCAATTTTGACAACTTTAAGCTGGCTGGGGAATTCTGGGAGTTGAAGTCTGCACATCTTAACCTGGTTAAGGTTAAAAAACACTGCTTTAAAGGTTTAATATACTTATTTTGCTCCTAAACATGTTATTGTCCTGCTGTGAGATTTAACACATTTTCTCCCTTCTAAAGAACACCTATTGTTTTAGAGTCTAATAGGTTCAGAAAGAACAACTGAAAGGTATCTCTTCTGTGGCCCTCAAACAGTTCCAGAATTGGGTGGATGAAGAATTTGGGAGCTTCTTTGTTCTGGGGTGGGAAGAGCATTGGGGATTTTGGGGAGCTTTTATGGGCAAAATTCTAGGATCACAGAAGTAAGGATTGGTGAGATCTTGGAGACCATCTAATTCAATCCTCTCCACAGTGCAAGAATCTACAATTTCAGAATCCTGGACAAATTTATTTGTTTTGCAAATATATAGTAAAAAAGTAGAATAGTTTTAGAAGATGTTGAGAGTTTGGAAAAAGTTCAGAGAAGAGCAACTAAGACGATTAAGGGTCTGGAGACTAAAACATATGAAGAACTGCTGCAGGACTTCGGTTCGGCTAGTCTAAAGAAAAGAAAAAATAGGGGAGACATGATAGCAGCATTCCAGTATTTGAGGGGCTGCCACAAAGAAGAGGGGGGTCATGTTATTCCCAAAGCACCAGAGGGCAGGACGAGAAACAATGGTTGGAAACTGATCAAAGAGAGAAGCAACCTGGAATTAAGGAGAAAGTTCCTAACAATGAGGACAATTAACCAGTGGAACAGCTTGCCCTCAGAAATTGTGGGCGCTCCATCATTGGAGTTTTTTAAGAAGAGACTGGACAGTCACTTGTCTGAGATGGTATCTGTTCTCCTGCTTGAGCAGGGAGCTGGACTAGAAGACCTCCAAGGTCCCTTCCAGCTCTATTCTATTCCATATGGCCTCCCATCTTAATCAAATATCTCTGGGCAGCTAACAAGCATAAAACAAAAGCATAGATGTAAAAACAGAGAAAAGACTTAAATGAACAATAAGCTACTATAGTCATCTTCTCAACAAGACAGAACAAAACAGAGACTCGGCTGAACTTCTTTCCTGGCCCTGAAGCCAGAAAGAAGAGCCAGGTTTTTATGATCTCCCAAAAAGCCAGGTGAACCTTGAGGTGGCCACCAATCCATTGTTTAAATGCCTCCATCAAGGTAAAAATGCCCAGGTACAGGTAGTCCTTGACTTACGACCACAATTGAGCCCAAAATGTATGTTGCTAAGTGAGAAATGTATTAAATGTGTGTGACTTTTCTTGCCACAGTTGTTAAGTGAATCACTGCAGTTGTTAAATTAGTAACACTGTGGTTAAGTGAATCTGGCTTCCCCCTTTTGTCAGTTCACAAAAGGAGATCACATGACTCTAGGACACTGCAACCATCATAAATATGAGCCAGTTGCCAAGCAGCTGAATGTAAATCACATGACCATGGGGATGCTGCAATGGTCATAAGTGTGAAAAATGGTCATAAGTCACTTTTTTCAGTGCTGTTGTAACTTCAAACGGTCACTAAGTGAAGTGTTGTAAGTCGAAGACTACCTGTACTCCTATTGAACATCTCTTAAACCCGTGGTGGTGAACCTATGGCACGTGTGCCACAGGTGGCACACAGAGCCCTCTCTGCGGGCACGCGTGCCATCGCCCCAGTCCTAGGCCTTCAGCTGGGTTTTATAAAATCTTTTCGCTTTAGGCCTCCGCCGCTGTGTGCAAAAAAAAAAAAGGTTCAATCAATCAATTTCAACTTCTTGCGGGGAAAAAAAATCTCGCAAAGTTGGAATTAATTGATTGAACTTTTTAGTCCCACCTAGTCTGCCATTACCACCACAGCCACGCCTACCCAATGGGCCACACCCACCCAATGGGCCACGCTCACCCGGCACCCGACGATGCATAAGTGGGTTTTGGGTTGCAGTTTGGGCACTCGGTCTCTAAAAGGTTCGCCATCACTGTCTTAAACTAAGTCTTTTTTCCGTGAATAACCAGCTGACACCTCTAAACCAGGTGTTTTCCAATTCTCAGCTCTGGACAGCTATTAATGTGGCCCATAAGACTGTAAACTGTTAACATTTTTATGTGATTTTTAGAAATAGTTACTATATTACATATTGTATTATACTATATTATATATAATGTATTTATGTTATATATTTTATATGCGGTCCAAGACAATTCCTCTTTACTTAATGCGGCCCAGCCAAGCCAAGCGGTTGGATAAGCCTTCTCTAAACTATTCAGCCCCATCTTCGCCTCGATGCCTTCCAGATGGTTGAAGGCAGCTATAGAGACTTTTTCTCTCCAGGATAAACATATCCAACTCTTCCAACCATTTTTCATATACTTTCCTTCCCATCCCCTTATCAGCTTAGTGGTTGTCCTTTAGTCGTGCTCTTATTTGTCACCGTTCTTTCTAAAATTTAGGGCTAAACCTGGACACAATATTCTAGGTACACTCCGGCCAAGCCAGAATAGAGAAGAACAAGTAAATACGTTGAAGTTGCTTAAGGCATCCACTTCACTCTTTAAAACTCTTAAAATCTGGCCTCAAATAGGCCATGATAACCTTGACCCTATTTGGAGGGCATCCCTTTGCAAGCACCAGGCAAAGTGATGAGTTTTTTAGTTTGATGCTGACTTAATGTGCTTTCTCAAGACATGATGCCCCCTCAGTTGCTCACCTTTTGGCGGTGGTCTGCTTCCGACTCTGGTGGTTAGCTTGGCCACTTTTCATTTTGCCCACTTTGCCCTTGGATTGGTCATTGAAGACGTTCTCATAGTCCTTGTGGAACTCCATGTTTTGACTTGTGTTCCCTGGCGGAGACAAGCGGCTAATGTACCTTGATTGTCCAGAGGTGCCTTCAGATGTGTCGGAAGGTCGTTTTTCTTGGTTGATTGGGGCCCTTTTCTTCCTCCAGATTACAAAGAAAGCCAGGATGGCCAACAGGAGCAGAATCAAGATTGGTATGATGATGCCAATATAGAGACCATACCCAGTGTCAGGGCACTCCTTCTTGTAGTAATCAGTTACATTATCCAGTCTTTCAGAAGTGAAGCACTGGCATTTGATGCCGCTGTCTGAGCAGTTTTGGCAATAATGCAAAATGCTGCCTGCCACATTGCAGCGGCAGTCCACCCGGAGCTCCTTCAGGCATGGATGGAAGCCTTCAATGGATATAGAGCTAAGTTGATTCTTCTCCAGACTCAGGACCTTCAGGTTGGGTGTTTTGTCAAAGAAGTCGGAAGGAAGGCTCTTCAATTTATTATTGTGAAGGAACAACGATTCCAGTTTTGCTGCAGACTCCAATTCTGATAACTCTGTGATGTTGTTATTGGACAGATCCAACTCTTTCACTTGTTTCCAAATAGTGAGATTGACTTTGGTGACAAGAAACCTGCCACTGAAATTCAGGCATGGCGTGTCATTGAAGCGTTTAAAGTTGATCTTCGAACAAGCAGCATCCACAAGGCATCCAAGGCGGGAAAACAGCAGAGTAGCGAGCAGTCCCCACATCCTACAGTACATAAAAGCAAATTGGGGTGATGTATGTGGCAAATGGGTGAATTAATCAATTCTAATCCATCCTAATTCCCGTGTTTTACAAATCTGTTGTCATAATTTCTCCTCTTTTTCTCATTTATGCACTTCTGCTAAACCCAAGGTTCTTTACAAATGTCAGCACCCCGTTGTTGTTGTTTTGCTCAGCATCTCAAAATGTTTGTATTTTAGTTTTGCAATTCTGCCTATTTTTTGCAGATTTCCCTCTCCACCATACAAAATAATGCTTTTTCAGGTTATACTATATGAATTTTCACTCTTTTTTTTTTAAAGAGTGCCACAAGATTTTGAAAAATACCATACACATTTTGAATGATATCCAAGTGTCAGTTCATGCCTTGGTTTAATTTTTTTAAAAAAATGAATTTGCATCTAAATCTTTTTCTTAAATTTCTTTCCAACCTCAACAATAACATGGCAAAATGGCTAGATCAGGGCTTTTCAACCTTTTCACCCATTGTACCACTTTTAGGATATGGCAACATCCGAGTACTACCAGTCGCCTAGCAAGGTGTCAAAAACTTGATGACCTCCCCCCCCAAAAAGGAAAAAAGTGATAAAGTACAGGTAGTCCTCGACTTACAACAGTTTGCTTAGTGACTGTTCAAAGTTACAATGGCACTGAAAAAAGTGACCCCCAAGCCACAGCCGAGCAAGACACCTACCTGCCCGCCCGGAGGCGCTCTTCCTCTTGTCTGAGGTTTTCATTGTTGTGAGCATTTCTGTTGAGGATTGGCAGCGGGGGTGGGGTGGGGGGGTGTTTGGTTTTTATCCCCCCGTCTGCTGGGTGGTTGCAGCAGGTTTTGGTCACTTCACATGACTCTGGGACACTGTGACCGTCATAAATGTGAATCAGTTGTCAAGCATCTGAATGTAAATCACAAGACCCTGGAGATGCTGCAACATTCCAGCTGATCGGCACTTCTTCTGGGCTCAGCAGAAGCGTCAGGATCAGTGCTGCTTTCCAGCTGATTGGCGCTTCTTCAGGGCTCAGCAGAAGCGCCAGGATCAGCGCCGAGCTCCAGCTGGAGCCTGGCGCTGATCCTGGCGCTTCCACTGAGCCCTGACAGCCCCAAAGAAGTGCCGATCAGCTGGAAAGCGGCACTGATCCTGGGGCTTCTGCTGAGCCCTGACAGCCCTGCAGCTCCAGCCATCTCTCGCTCAGGCTTGTGCGGTGCTGCCACCGGTTCAGCTCATTCCCCTCTTCCACTACCACTTTCTTAGGATGGTCGCGTACCACCTGCCAGGTGCCAATGTACCACAGGTAGTACCCGTACCACTGGTTGAAAAGCCCTGGGCTAGATCATTCTGCATCATGGTTTTGATTTGGCAGCCAAGGAGCCCTTCTCAATTTTCATTATTTTATTTTTTTGTTAAGATCCTTACAACAATTAAATCAACTCTATGAGGAATCCTGTAACTATGTTCACATGGCACAATTGGTTGGAATTGGTGGAAGAGCCTTTTCTAAGCACCTACAGCTTGCTTCAATAGTAGCTGAAGCTACTTTTCCATGTGTTATTATTATTTTTTCATGTAATGAAAAATGCAGTGGGTAGCGCTATCATGGGCAGAATAGGGAGAAGCTTATCCCTACCCTTGGTGGCCATTTCTTGGCAGAGATATAAACTTAGATTTATTATATCACATCTATAAGATTTGGAGTGCTAAAAATTAATGATTTGAGAAAGGGGGAATATGGGGAACCACACAGTGGCTAGTAAAAATTGTCCAACTGAATGAGACCAGAGGTCTACTAAACACATCTTTGTGCATTTCCCAAAACAATCAGGCACATGATTGGCATTCAGAGGCATATTACCTGGGAATAAGATGGATCCACATAGCTAACAAGCTCAAAAGAAGATCTAGATCAATCCATTAAGCCCAGCCCTGAGATTCCAATGAAGACCAAGCAGATGCCTTCAGGAAGGCAAAAAAAAAAAAAAGAAAAAAAAAAAGGCATAAATGGGAAGTCAATTGCTGTTGAATACAGAAGCTCCATTTTGCTATTAAAGTCAGGAAACAAATATTAGAACTCTGAAATGAAATTTGCAATCTCAAGGCAGTCTTGATTCCTGGCAAGCATCTGGGCATGTTCTTGCCATTTTCCTGGTCACATTTTTGGAAATAGTTTGCTATTGCCTTCTTCCTGGGGCTGAGAGAGAGGGATTGGCCCAAAGTCAGCCAGCTGGCTTTGCATCTAAGCCAGGACTATACCACCGGACTCTCTTACTAAAACTCTACTTTATTAATCTAGAATCATAATAACAGAATCTTGAAAGCCACCTCTCCATCTTATACCAAAGAGAGTCAAGGCAGGGCAATCTGGAGTGTGTTTCTCACTTTTCTTCATTCCTGGGCATTCACTAACAATTTCACTACCAACAAAGCCTATTCACCTATACAGTCATGTCCAAAAGACATGGATTGGCCTCTCCTTCACTATGAACCATCTAGCATTGCTTTTACTAATGAACAACTTACAAATGAACATTTTGTTTACAGAACTTGTGTTCAGAAACAGAATGGAAAGGGTTACTGATCAAGGGGTTAGACCAGAAAGATCCAAGTTCCTACTAAGCCACAAATATCAGAGTTGACTCGAGGATCAGTTACTACTCTAACACATCCTACCTCACAAGTTTATTGAAAGATAATATAGGGGCAGGGGGTAATTAAACAAGCTGCCTGGAATAGTGCTTAATATATCTGAAGTCAGACTAGGGAGACCCAGCTTCAAATCCATCCTCAACCATGCAAACTCATTGGCTACTTCTCTCACCATAGCCTACCTTATAAAATTGTTGTGGAAATAAAATCCAAGCTCTTTTATGGGAAAATAGAGTAAAGCAGTATCATCCACAATGCAGATTGGGTGGTTGAAAGGTGATGTATTTACACATATTCAATCAACTTTATATCCTACTTTTCTCCTAAGACCTCAAGTTGATAGAGGTAGTTTTAACTTCATAACCATCCTACCAATTACAGCAGATTGATCTGAGAGATGGTGAGCGACCATCTTGAAAGGTTGAGAGTGGAGTTGAATCTGAGTTAATCCAGTGTAACTCTTAAAACTTCAACACACCAATTGTGTTGTTTTGCTTTCCCATTCTGTTCTATTGTACAGTAACTGCGCTCCCATTTTGGCCCCAGCCATTTATTACAGCTGCTGCCCAAGTTAGGCTTTTCAAGACACTAATCCACAAGATATATGGGACTTTTTTACGCCCAACCACTTCTCACACCATACCTTGAACTGAAGTCTTCAACGGATCTTCTCAGCTTTGCTGTCTTACGCTGTTGGCATTGCTTGTGACGGGAATAAAAAGGGAACCAGCAAAAGTTTCCTCTTTCAAAAATACGAGGAGGGTGGGAGGAAAGAAAAGGAAGTGAGGGGGGAAAGGCCCAGTTACTCAACCTCCTAAAAAATCAGCACAGACAGACATCTGCCATTGTCTCTGCCAGGGGCTGAGCTTAGGTTTTGGGGTTTGATCACATCTTTGCAAATAAATTCCCTAAAATATGAATTGGTTCTTTGGAAGTGGGCAGCTTCAGAACAGAAGCCAGTGTGGGAAGTCAGCCCCCCAGAGAAAGAAATATTAAAAGGAAAATATATTTCCTCAAAGGATCTTGAAGAGGCAGAAAAAGCATGCCCAATTTTTCTTGATAGCCCCAGGTCTCCCTCCCCCCAAGCAGAAGCCAGCTCTTTACAAATGCAGATGTAAACCATCAGGGAGGTTGAAGCTAGGAGATTAAGAAGACAAAGACACCTAAAATCTGCACACCTCACCCAAACTCTAAGAGTCATTAGCCCCAGCCCCAGGGAAGCAGGATATGACCTTTGGGACATAATAGGATTAACCCGTCACCAACAGAATACCAGAAAAGCACACTCAGACTCAAGTCAAAGTTCATGCCACAGGAACAGGAAACAACTCCAAACAAAAGGCTCCAGAGGGTATAAAAACCCACTCCCTACATGTGCTCAGTCCTTTTTTTTCTTCTCTTTTCTGTCAGAGCCATCTTTCTGTCTGGCTCTCCTCTTCAATAAACTGCAACCTTCTTTCTGAAGTAGTCGCCATGTTTATTCCCAGCTTGGACTGAACCATGATGAATTTATTCCCAGCTTGGACTGAACCACGATGAAGACTTTTCTTCCAACACCAGGAAAAAACAAGGATGGCAACTTGAGGGATAGGGGGGGCAGAGCCAGGATGTAGCCAGGACACATTGGGGGTGGGACCAAGATGCACCCAAATTTGGGGTAGCCCAATGTCAGGCCCAATCCACAGGGAAACTAACACTGACATATGTAGGGGAACTGTATGGTGCAGTGTGAATCCCCCTCTCACTGCATCTGGGAATTCTCTCTCACCAGTGAGTAGCTACTGTTAAACATAATGTTAGTTTTCTTCTAAAAGAGCACTAAACCCGTCTTTAAAAATGTATTGCCCTAATACACGTAGTCCTCACTTAGTTACCACTCTTTCGACCACTTGAGGTTAAGATGGGGCTGAACAAAAAGACTTACAGTTGGCTCTCAAAGTTGTGAGCATCTCAGTGTCCCCATAGTCACATGCAATTGCCATTTAGGAAATTGACAGCTACTGTAAATCACATTTATGATAGATGCAGCATCCCACAGTCCCACGATTGCCAGTTATGACCTTCACTGCCAGCTTCTGACATGCAAAGTCAATGGGGAAGCCTTTGGGAAATCAGAAGTCATGGTCATTACGTTGCATAACAACTGTGGACAATTCATTTAAAGACTGCAGCTGGAACTGCCAGAATTGCCATCGTAAATCCACATGGTCATGTGACTATTTTGTTTTATAATAGTGTCACTTGGCCATGGAGTTTCCAGTCCCAATTATGGTTGCTAACTGTGGACCACAATTAGTCCTTAACTTACAACAGTTCATTTAGTGACTGTTTAAAGTTACAACGGCACTGTAAAAAGTGACTTATGACCGTTTTTCACACGACCGTTGTAGAATCTCCACGGTCACGTGATCATGATTCAGACGCTTGGGAACTGACTCAAACTGATGATGGTTGCAGTGTCCCAAGGTCATGTGATCACCTTTTGGGATCTTCTGACAGATTCACTTAACAACCATATTACTAACTTAACAATGGCAGCGATTCAGTTAACAACTGTGGCAAGAAAGGTTGTAAAATGGGGCAAAACTCACATAGCCAAGGTTTTGCTTAGCAACAGAAACTTTAGGTTCAATTGTGGTCATAAGTCGAGGACTACCTGTACCTGTAACTAAGAGGGTTGTACAATATTGCCATGAAGTAGGAATCTCTCTGCAGCTGCAATGCACAACTTCTCACTACGCCTGTCACCTATTTTTAAGCGTGGCTTCCTGTTTTTCGGGTTGTTGGCGAAGCCAAAGTGGGAACTCTGAATGCTGGACATGTGTTGCTTCCATCTTTACTTCCCAACAGGCCTCAGAGCTGCATCTGAACAATGTGGAGACAGTTCCTCCTTCATGTTCAGCACCTGCTCCTTGGCTAAGCTTTTAAGTTGCACTTTTTCTCGGTAACCAACTTCCCATTTTTCAGAAAGTCATAGAGAAAGAACAAAAGCACCAGTCATAGTTGTGCTTGAATTCTAACAGGTAAGCTTCACATCCACTGAGTTCAGAGTGAGGTTTGTACTTCTCAGCTACAGTGTAAATCGGGGGTCTTCAAACTTGGCAAACTTTAAGACTTGTGGACTTGAAGTCCACAAGTCTTAAAGTTGCCAAGTTTGAAGACCCCTGGTGTAAATGCTGGAAAGATTGAAAACAAATATGTTTGCTTTTAATCCCGGTAGACCAAATCTTCCAAGCTCGGGTTTGCTCTTTCACTCACCCATCAGATAATTAAAATTTTGTGCTGAGTAGGAGAAGTTGATCAACAGGAAATCGATGCAAACTATGACATGAACTGAAAAGAGAGGGACACATCATAATTCCAAAATTGCAAGAGAGGAAGAATTCATGTTTAGTAATGTTTTCTGGGCCCTGTAGAGCTATTCTGCAAGACAGCAGTTTACCCCTTAAGTTTGGCATAGCTGAGTTGCTAAGCTCTATTTTTATCCAGGATTCTAGTTTGAGGGAGATATATAGCAGGCAGAAGAAATTCTTCTAATTATTTATGGAATTCCACCACAAGATACGATATGAAAGCCAATTTGGTGTAGTGATTAAGACATCAGGCTCGAAATCAGGAGACTAGGAGTTCTAGTCCTGCCTTGGGCATGAAACCAGCTAGGTGACCTTGGGCCAGTCACTTTCTCTCTGCCCTAGGAAGGAGACAATGGCAAACCACTTCTGAAAAACTTTGCCAAGAAAACTGCAGGAGCTTGTCCAGGCAGTCTCCAAAAATAGAACACAACTGAATGGAAAATTAAAATCCCACAAAATATAGCAAGGGAATTAAAGAATGGCTGTAGCCACACCAAACATCAACCCCAAATGCAATTTGCTTGTTTATGGCTTAGAGCAGAGGTCCTCAACCTTTTGGGCACCAGGGACTGGTTCCGTGGAGAGAGGTTTTTCCGCGGACTGGAGGGGGCGTGGTTTTGTGTGCTGTCTGCATCTCACGGATGGGACTTTGCTTGTTTGTGCGGACTGGTTGCTGGCATGCCGTGGCCCGGTACTGGTCCACGGACCGGGGGTTGGGGACCCCTGGCTTAGAGTGTTGGGTGAACTCAGCCAGAATTTCTACACATGGGAATGTGGGAATGGCCTTGTGAGACAAATATCCAGGAGGCCTAGATGTCCATCATACCAAAGATATCTCAGTCCAAGAAGGAAAAGCAGGAAGCATCTCAGAAGACACTTCCCTAGTTTTCTGGAAAGTAAAAGTAACAGAGAGGAGAAATACTTTCAGACTTTCAAGATTGTGCTACTCTAATCTTACCATAAAGGTAGTACAGATAGTCCTTCACTTACAACAATTCATTCAATGTTACAATGGTACTGAAAAAAGTGACTTATGACCATTTTTCATACTTATGACCGTTGCAACATCCCCATGGTAAAGTGATCAAAATTCAGGCACTTGGCAACTGATTTATATTTGTGACGGTTGCAGTGTCCTGGGGTCATGTTTGCAACCTTTTGACAAGCAAAGTCAATGGGGAAGCCAGATCTGTTTAACAACTGTGTTACTAACTTAACAGCTGCAGTGATTTACTTAACAACTCTGGGAAGAAAGGTCATAAAATGGGGCAAAACTCACTTAAGAACTGTCTTGCTTAGCAACAGACACTTTGGGCTCAGTTGTTGAGGAGAACTTGTATTAGTTCTCATGGTCTGTGCTCCTTCTCTCGACCAACTTGAAGGTCTGACAACACAAGAGTATTTGGTACTATGTCATACCTGAATTTAAAAAATTATTATTAATTGAACTATGATTAAAAACCATGGCTTAGTGTATTATGTAATCCCATCCAGTGATTGGAGGATGCTACTGTGCTATTTTCAGTGGTGGGATACAAATATGTGAACAACCAGTTGTCAGTATGGATGCCACTTCCGGAAATCCATTCTGGGCCTGGGCAATAAAAAGTTAGCTACCGGTTCTGCCGAAGTGGTGCGAACTGGCTGAATCCCACCACTGGCTATTTTGGACTGGAGTTGCCAAAAGCTCCTAAAGATGACCAATGGCTGTTGATAGTCCTTTTCTTGTGGACTTTCCCACTAGCATCCCATCAGCTGATTGTGGATAGAAGAAGCAGGCTGACCTAACTCAGCAGAACTTTATTTGGATTCTTACTCACCAGCTGGTGGATGGTGAAATTGAAATTCTGCCAAACACTTTCTCTAACTAGCAAGTTTTGCAAAGCGGATCTTGAGAGGCTGTTGGGAAGGAAGGCAGGAACACGTCATTGTAAGAAACAAAGGCCAATGGAGTTCAAAAGGAAGAGGAACAAGGACCTATCAGTGCAATCCTGTGGGGTTAGGAGCAATCAGAAATTACGGAGGGCAAGTTCAGATGTAGGGACTGTGAAAGCCTTTCCCCATCTTTTAATACAGGACAGGTAGTCCAACGACTTACAACCACAACTGAGCCCAACATTTCTGTTGTTAAGTGAGATATATGTTAAGTGAGTTTTGTCCCATTTTACAGAGAAGAGCAACAAAGATGATTAGGGGACTGGAGGCCAAAGCATATAAGGAACGGCTGCTGGAATTGGGTATGTCTAGTTTAACGAAGAGAAGGACAAGGGGGGACATGATAGCAGTATTCCAATATCTCAGGGGCT